TGCGGCAGTCTATGTATCCAGGCTATCTGCTTAGCGGGATGATTGTCATGTTAGACATCCTGACTGAGATCAACCTTTGCCCACGTATTGCACCGAACTTTGTCTTGGTGGTAATCTGATACTCAAAGAGATGGTCAGCAGTCATGGAAAATACGTAGATAGCAACCGACTGTCGTACTGGGAAAGCTGAATCAAGCAATGGAAGCATAAAGACAATGTCATAATCTGACTATGACATCCAGGAAGATCAAACTCGGCGTCCGACTTCAAGACATGGATTCACTGACCTACTAGATGATCAGATCTGTCACCACATGCCAGTGCACCTATGAGAAGTGCTAGGTGAGTAGCCACATGGAAGGAGACATGGTGTTATATGACCATGACAATCCGAACATATAGCAGGATAAGCACGAAGACCTACTCGACCATAAGTTATATCCTGCTTCCCATCTCTCCTTGACGGTATAATTTGCTACATTTATGAAGACGTCTCCCGTAACGTAGAAGCTAGGCGCCTGTCTCCCGAGAGAGGTATCACATGTTCAGGTTCGTAACTGATACCGCACTTGCACCCTCAAGACCCGGCTTCCTGGTCAAAACATGAAGTTGGCCGAAAGAAGCACACATGGGATGACAGCAGCTCCCAGAAGGCAGACATCGTAGTTAATACTTAGATCCATGCTAGCCCCTGTCCTGAATGGCCAATGTACTCAAAGCCAACGAAGGATTGCGCAGCACCACACCACCGTTGTTCACCAGAGAGGTATGAAAGATCAGATACGCTACGGCATCCAAGCTATTGACGAGTCTGTACAATTACAAGATAGATGACTCATACACACACAAGCAGGCACACGACATACCATCACTACTAAGCAGGCTGACGCTCTTGGGGTCCTGTACGAGGCGCGGATGACGGACCGCTCACCGCATGGCGTTACTGCAGGAGTTGGCGACACATCGTCATGAACTTGAAGCAGCCTACAGGACAACCCACCGTCGAGCAACGCCCGATCATCTGAATGGGGACTCAAGATGGAAAGCTCTGGAGCCTTTACTACTCAGGCCATGGTGGAGACGAGTACGGACATTCTAAGAATTCATCCTACCCAAGGGCAGCATGACACTGTATGAGATTTCAAAGTGATGATCAGCTACGAGATAGGCTGTGATGAGGCGGCAATCCTCCAGCCCAAGGTGTGCATGAGCTTGACTTACGGCCTTTTGATGACTGACCGTGACTCATTCGCACGAGGCAGCAGGCTATTCCAACGACGAGATGACAGACTCCAAGGTTGGAATGACACCATACTGGCCGACATGCACGAGATAGACGGTAAATAAACACTGCAAAGCGTGACACATGCTGGCACGACATCAAGACAGAGACAGGGATAAAAATGCAGCGCCGCGCCTCGCCACGCTTCGTTTACAGGTCAATATGACAGCCAGGAAGGATGGCCTTGGGGCAAGACGCGCCAGACCAAAATGGACCACAACAAAACGCGTCAAGGGGGAGCCGCAGAGCCAGAACCCCAAGAGCCAGAATAAAGTCAAGTCAGTCACAAATACGGCACTGGTCAGCAGGTTGATGTTCTCAAATGTCCTCCGACGGATTCATTATTCGCTGGCATGGAACCAATCCATGTAGTAGCTGACCCCCTCCCATTCCCTTATGGTACAATGAACACCTCGAAAAAAGCAGTATCCCAATCCCATGATCATCATGACCAACCACAAGGCCGACAACTAGAGGCCGTGGCGAATTCGCGCGAAATGATTTCGTAACAGACGTGAAGCAGCAGACGGTCTAACCACCGAAACCGTACAGGGTGCGGCCTTGTCGCTTCAGGGCGTAGACAACGTCGAGAGATGTGACTGTCTTGCGCTTGGCGTGCTCGGTGTAGGTGACGGCGTCACGGATGACACCCTCAAGGAAGGACTTGAGAACACCGCGGGTCTCTTCGTAGATCACTGGCAGGGGGCAGACGCGTCAGTATACCAGTGATGCGACTTGAGCGTGTGAGGAGCGGAGGAGTGACTGGAGGGGTGACCTACTGGCTGAGATACGCTTGACACCACCACGACGGGCGAGACGTCGGATAGCGGGCTTTGTGATACCCTGGATGTTGTCGCGAAGAATCTTGCGGTGACGCTTGGCGCCACCCTTTCCGAGACCCTTTCCACCCTTGCCGCCTGTAGAGAAGACGCGTCAATGATGAAGTCCAAGCTAAGCCAGACGCGACGGAACGAGACGCGATGTGCGCAAGCAGGCGCGGAACCCGGGATGAGCGAGGCAGGGAGAGGTAACTTACGTCCAGTCATCTTGAATGAGGGAGAGTAGATGGTGATGTGTGTGTAGGTTGTAGTGGTGGATGAGATGAGGCTGGTGGCGGTGGTTGAACGGGATGTGGTTGGTGGTGATGGATTGAGTCGAGAAGATGTAAGCGTGGGGTAGGGGACGGGACTTTAAATAGGGAAATGCGAGAGGGCAATCAGATCAGCCAGAGCTCCAGAGGGAGTCGCATCAATCGCTAGACTAGCGCGATGTACCCAGGTATCTACTATCTATCTGGTCCTTCCCCACCACCGGGTCCGGCTAGTCCCAATGAAGCCTATTCGGTTCAACGTTCAGCGCCCGCCAGCCAATCATCAATTCGCATGTAGCTGTTTCAACCCTGGCTATGGTCAACTGGTAATCGATCGATCTGATGCCATGCTCGAAAACCATCAATCCCATCCACCATCCACCATCCATTCAACCAGCCAGCCAGCCAGCCACCCACGCGACCGGCTATCCACCTCTCTGCCGTCACGCATCGACGCGCGCATCCATGCTCTGATTCCCCTTTTCCATTTCATCTGCTAGCACGGTCAACAGAGCAGCTTCCACCCGAGATGGTGGTACTTGGATGCCTGTCAACGGTGCCACTATTCCTCTCCAAGGCTCAAGCAGCACTGAACTCGGATCTGGGCTGCGCATGCATCTCCTGCAGGAGGTACGTAATCTGATACTCTCTTCAACACATCAGATTGCAGGCCAACTAGGTACACGTGCTCTGTTCAATACGTGAGAACAATGCAAGATATATGCGGAGAAGGCTTCGCATTTAGATGCTCGTATTCCATGTCATTCTCTTTGTCTACCTGTCTACTGAATATTGAAGTGAGAGTGACAAGCCCGGCAACTACCAGTAGGCACACCCAGCATGTACCTCTTTCGCGCTGCCCCGCGTAAAGTGCGCACATGTAGTTCTTTCAGAATCTGTTGCTTCGGATAATGCCATCATGGACGAATGCAAGCCAAAGTCAAAGTCAAAGCCAGTCGAGCCAATCAAACCAATACCTCTAGAACAGGAATAGTGCAGCCATTGCCTTATCCCAGCACTAGCATCGGAAGAGTGCAGCCAATCAGAACTAGGAACAGGCTGTCTGATCCTGCGAAGTTAGAATTTCGCAGCTGGAATTCACACCAGCAATCCAAAGCACGCCAACCAAGTTGAACCCGGCGCCCGCCCAAACGCACCCCGGTCTGCGCCCCAAAAAATCAACCCAAGTGCACCACCTAATTCATTCCGAACGAAGGAACGCATTGGTGGTCCCCGGCACCCCCGCCCCTGCCTGTTGCACCTGCACCTGCCACAGAAACAGATCAGGAATCAGCAGCACAATCAGCCAGCCAGCCCAGCCAGCCGCGCTACCCACTTTCTCACATATTTAAGCCATCCCCCACCACTCCCCAATCTCTTCCTTTTACAACATCCACACCCACACACATCCACCACTCTCCTGCATCTGCAACCATCAACCACACAACAACCACCCATCTCCATCACCAAACAACCACTCTTCATCTTCATCTCAATCATCAGCAATGGCCCGCACCAAGCAGACCGCCCGTAAGTCCACTGGTGGCAAGGCTCCCCGCAAGCAGCTCGCCTCCAAGGCCGCCCGCAAGAGCGCGCCGTCTACCGGAGGTGTCAAGAAGCCTCACCGATACAAGCCCGGTACCGTCGCTCTCCGTGAGATCCGTCGCTACCAGAAGTCGACTGAGCTCCTGATCCGCAAGCTGCCCTTCCAGCGTCTGGTAAGTTCATCCTTCATTCCATTTGCGACCGCGAGCGCAGCCAGCGACGCGACGCGCGCCCTTCTCCACACCTCATCACGATTGATCTCGTGCTAACGCGACACGTACAGGTTCGTGAGATCGCTCAGGACTTCAAGTCGGACCTCCGCTTCCAGTCTTCGGCCATCGGCGCTCTCCAGGAGTCGGTCGAGTCTTACCTCGTCTCGCTCTTCGAGGACACCAACCTGTGCGCCATCCACGCCAAGCGTGTCACCATCCAGTCGGTCAGTGCCACCCTCACACACCCTCTTACCTTCCCCCCCGATCATATTACTGACTATTTCTACAGAAGGACATCCAGCTGGCCCGCCGCCTCCGTGGTGAGCGCAACTAGAGTCTCCACCTCTTCTACCGACCGGGACGAGATAGGTCGTGGGGGGATGCAATGGACTTGATGATACTCACTGGGATGGCGTGACGACTTCGGTTTCTACAGGGATGGGATAATTAAGGCGTTATGATTGCGTTGGTTTTTCGCACAGGCATGGGTTGTACATCAGTCATAGGCAGCATGCCATGAGGCGCTGCGATACTGAACACAGGAATCTGAACATGAACAAACAAACAAACAAACACATCACTGTCATGCTCTTGATCGTGACATGAAATGACATGACATGACTCATCCCATCTCTTGTTCTTCTGCAGCTACACTTCCATCGGCTTGATACACTGCCACGCGCCATGGTTCATGGTCACGATGACTGTACTCGACTTTTCAGGTAGCGTACGCGCTGCCAACTGGCGAATGAAGCAGTCATGTGCCGATGTCTCGTTTCATGCCACGCTATTCACCTCTAGACAGCAGCCATCGTCACTGTGAGTCATGCTTTGATATACTTTCTATCTAGACATTCAGTACCAGGAGGCATCACAGCACCGACTTCCAGCCCCCTTGCGACGGCTTCTCGAGCCCCAAGAACTGCAGCACCTGACCGAGATGGTCGACGCCCCAGAACCCCTCAGTCGCGCCCGCACTGTTGGTACACTCCATCCAGGGGAGGCCAAACGCCCCCGCCGCGAACGCCCGGTCCGTGTTCTCCTTGAGCGTCGCCTTGCCCGTCGTTGTCGCCGCCGCGAGAACTACAGGTTTGGAGAAACCGTTGTCAGCCAAAGTGGTTAAAACCCAAGACTCACCAAGGCAAAGGCCCGCATACCTCTCTCGGCCTCGGCGGGCCCCAGCACCTCCCGCAACACGGGTGCGAACACGTCGGCCGACGCGACGGCGCGGTGCTCGACCCACAGCGCGTGGAAGAGCCGGGCGAGCGTCTGCGCCAGCTGGTCCTGCGACGCGATCTGGCATAGGACGCGCATCACGTGGACCGTGTTGGGCGGGAAGTCGGGCGGCGACGCGGCCGTCATGGGGATGGCGAAGGCCTGCGCCCAGCGGACGCGCTCCCGGTTGACCCACTTGTCCTTGTCTGTTGGCCGGCGGCGTGCACGCGTGAGCATCTATCTGGTCGTCATGGCGGGCAGGCAGGCGGGAGTGAGTGAGTGAGTGAGTGAGTGAGTGAGTCAGAGCGCGGGGGAAGAAGCCTGGCGGGGATGGATGCTTTTCATGGCAGTGTATGTATGTGGTGGATGGGACGACGACGGGGACATACTCTTGATCTGAATCGGTGCTGTGTTTCCGCACTAGTGACCGTATCATCATCAGCCGGCTGCGTCCACCCCGTCACCGCCCCTCCGTTCCGGGTCTTCCGCGATGGCCTCCCGAACCAAAGGAGAGGACGAGGACGGGTCTTTGGTGGTGTACCCAGTGCCACTTACCGCCTTCATCAGGCCGCCCAAGAATATGGGGACGTACGTGACCTGCACGTTCCGGAAGGCAGCATCATTCTGCCACAGGAGACCCTGTCAGCACCCTCTCAACACAATCCGTTTGCGCACCCAGCATCCAGCTGACAACCGACGGTCAACGCCCCGAGCAGAGCCAGAACACGTGTTGCGGAACGTACACGGAGGATGTGGAAGGCCTCGTACGCGAACGGGCTGACCACGTCGACAAAGAGGGTCACCTTCTTGGCCGCGCTCATCGTGGCTGATATTATATTATCTTATACTACTAGCACTGTCGCGGGCGGCTGCTCATCGACTGAAGGCGATGGGGTTGTTGGGGAGGTTGCCAACACTTCAAGGTGAGATCGTAGATGCCCGTGACAGTTGAGCAGTGTCGGAGCACCCCAAATCCGCCCTATTTCCCGACCGTAGCGTGACGGTAGCCCAGCCCAGCCAGCCAGCCTCGGCATGTCTCTCCGCACTTTCAACCACGATTATTATTCTGGGAGAGCTGATGGATCTCATGGGTGGATATGCCAACGGCAATTCATCAGTCGCAGGTCCATTTTTGTTAGCAGTGCTTCAACTTGGATAAGAACACGTAAAACAAACAAACGTCAAGCGCTGTTGGGGCATGTGGCAGGCAATTAATTGACTATGTCGGACACGTTCACTGGTGTCCTTCTCCATGTACATTCACTACATCCATGTACTACTGAACCAACATTGAAGCACTCCTCGAACGCCTATCAAGCAGACACAGAAAAACTCCATCTCCAACTTCGACCTCGACTCTCTTCGCCTAGCTGACTTCGTTCTTCCCGTTCCTCGCGTGTACTGTCGTTAGCACGTCAAAGGCACCCGTTCCGATCTTTCCCAGCTGGCCCATGACGATGCGACTGCTGGGCGTCGAGAGGTCATCCCAGTCACCGTCCAGCACCGCATCCTTCAAGAAAGACAGCGTCGTCTCGAAACTCATCTTGGTGAACGGACTGACGTTGCCCTTGAGGCCCATGCGGTTGAACGGCGTGAACCCGCCGTTTCGCGTCATGTAGTCGCCAATCAGGTTGAGATGGCGGTTGTCGACGCTGATGCCGTGCCCGCCAAACACATTCCCCAGTTCGCGGATGATGTTGCGACGCGCCGCTTCGATTCCGTACACCCGGAGCACCGCCGCGATGTCGTTCGTCTGGATGCTGTTGGGGTTGATAAAGTTGCTGTACTTCTGCATCGCCTGCAGGTTGACCCCGTCCGTGTGGATCACCGCCTTGGTCACCTCTTCGCCCGTCTGCGCGTCCTGTACCTCGTCCTCGGCCACGAAGATGCACGAGCGGATGCCGGCTATCTGCTGCACGAGAGCCTTGCGAACCGCCTCCTGCACGATGCTCAGCATGAGCACCTTGGGCGTGTTGGAATCGTACTCGAGTGTGAAGTCGCACCACTCGCCAGTCGCCTCGTCGCATTCGAACCGCGATAACACTGGTGTCCTCTCCTTCACACGATTCTCACGGCTCCGGTTGCCCTGCTGCTTCTCACCAAGTCCATCCCCGTCCTCGTCATCGCTGGATGGAGGTTGACTCCCCCCAAAGCCTTCGTCCTCAGGTTCCTCCACGTCTTCAGGCGACGCCTCGCGTTCCAACCGCTGCTGGATCTCGTCGTCCTCGTCATCGTTCGCGCCATACGAGACTGCCTGAGCTCGGTTTGCGCGCTGCTTGGCGTTTGTCGCGTCATCGTCGCCGTCATCATCGTCATCGTCATCCTCATCTCGTGGCATGGCCTCGCTGTTGCCTGCTGCCACTTCCACAACCCCTGATTTCACCCCGACCTCGGGCACGGCAGCGTTCTCGCGGTCTAACTTCGCCTTGATTTCCTTCTTGACAAGCCTCTCCAGTAGTGGCAGCAGCTTCATCTCAACCGTGTCCAACACATCAGAGGTACTGATTTCGTACGTCTCCTTGTATTCTTTGGCACTGAAGAACTCCAAGCGAATGTCAAACATCTTGGCGAGTCGGTAGCCGATGCCCTTGCCTACACGCTCCTTGACCGTGGCCTTGTCGATGACGTGGGCGAGGGGGAGTACGCTAATCGCCTTGGCGAATTTTCGGCCCTCATCTTGACTCAACTCTTCGTTCAGCACAAGTGTCATGGACGGAGTCGAGATACGCTCGCTAGCTGTCATCAGAATCTCTCGGAGACGAGGGATACCGAGCGTGACGTTCTTTGCAGAATGCCCCGCCAGATGGAAAGTGTTCAGCGTCATCTGGGTCGACGGTTCACCTACAGACTGCCCAGCAACGATGCCGACAGCCTCGCCGGGCTCCACGAGGGAGCTGAGGTACTTGGAATGAAAGATTTTCTCGGCATACTTGCGAGGTACCTTGTCGCTCTTGTCGCTCTTCCCACTGTTGCCACCCTTCTGCTTGATCAGACCGTCCTTGTTGCTCTTGAGATAGCCCGACACATCTTTGTAGAACTTCTCTGATGTGGCAAAAGCATTCCGGTTCGGGTTGAGTTCGGCTTGGATCGGATCGAGACCCTTGGGATCGTTTGCCGCAGCTTGCTTGACTGCTTTCTTTAGGTGCTTTTGGGCATAATCCTTCGATTCATACACCTCTTGATCCCACCCCCTTTCGGCAATTCCAAGTTGGTCTACCTGTGATGTCCGATTGCGGAGTACGAAGCTGAAGTCATGCAGATATTTCTGCTTGGTGATGTCCAATCCGTCCTCGCCGTACAGGAACTGCACCATTGAACCATCCGCATCTCGTACCGAAGTGTCGTAGGCAACCTTGAGGCCCTCCATACCCTTGATCAGACACCTCTGGAGATAACCGGACCGGGAGGTCTTGACAGCCGTGTCGATGAGACCTTCTCGACCGGCCATGTGATGGAAGTAATATTCCTGCGGCCGAATGCCGGTCAAGAAACGGTTCACAATGTAACCACCGGCTCGGACGTGCGTTTCGAAAGGGCGGAAGCAGGGCAGCGTTTTGCCACTGACCATGACGGGCACCCTTCTACCCTCAAGGACCTGCTGGCCAAGGTTGCAGGAAATCAAGTTCGCATTGACAGGACTTCCCTTTGCCCCAGATATTGTCATGGCCTGCATGTGATTCTTCGGGAACTGCTTCGTTAGTCCCGCGGGAAGGCATGCCAGTGTCACGGCTGACGACACATTACCACATTCCTGGTTCATCATACGGTCAAGGCCTTCTTGTTTGCTATCATCGCGCATTACCTCCTCCAGACGCTCAAGAAGAAGAGGTGATGAATTTTCGATGTCGGCGTGTTTGTCCAGGCTCACGTGCGTGGCAGCGACTTTGAGGCCAATCCGGCCTGCCTCCTCCAGCTTTTCTTTTCGTGTTTTTTCGCCCTCGGGCGTGAGCCGTAGGTCGTCCATACCACAGGTAAAAGCACGCATGTTGAGGTATCTCGTGAGAAGCCGACCCATGCAGCTGAGCAGTTTGGCAGCCACTTCGGGGCCCCAAATTTCATGTATCGAGTGGATAAAGCCGCCACTACTAGGTCCCAGCTGGGATTTGTCCAGAATGCCAGTGATGAACTCGCCATCATTGAACAGTACTTCTCCTTCTTCTACGAAAACGCCCCAAGGCTGTGACTTGATCGACGTCTTCCCAGTGAGCCAAAGATCACCACGCCCAGCTGGCCGCATGTTTTTCAGGATGGTTGTGATGACCTGTTTGCCGGTCCACCGCCTGGCTGGTTTGAACATGGCCGGTGGGACAAGTTCGAGCCTCTCGGATGTTACGTGCCCGCTCTCCGGTCGGAGTGCACCATACACAAGCTGGTGATATGTTCCCTTGTCGAAGAAGGCGTCCTTGCTGCAGAGAGCCACCGACACGGAGATGTGATCCTGAATCAAGCCACGAAGGGGCTTTCCGGCTGTTGCCGAGAGGTATTGATGGTCTGTGTCTGCGATTTGCAGGGCTTCGACGCGCGCGAGCTCGTTCTGGGGGAAGTGCATGTTCATTTCATCACCATCGAAATCTGCGTTGTACGTGTTGCAGTTTGCGTAGTGCATGCGGATCGTCTTCTCGCCGGGAAGCACTCTAGCTCGGTGGCCCATGATAGAAGGCTTGTGAAGCGTAGGCTGACGGTTCATCAGCACGACATCTCCATTCCCCAAATGACGGTGGACCTTTTTGCTCTGCATGCCGCCGTAATCGTGCGTGGTTGGGGCGAGGAGTTGGTTGGCTAGTGCGACTCTGTCTTCCACAGACTTGTTCTTCAGGTTGATGACCTGTCCATTCTCATTTTCGATGGCCGCGGCACCGGGCCACTTGTCGATGCCATTGATGACAGCCTGCTGCATCTCTCTGAAGTTGTGACTGGTGACGGGTTCCGGATAGGTCAACTTCTTAGCAAAGACAGGGGGGACACCGATTTCGCTAGTCTCGATGTTAGGATCGGGGGAAATGACACTTCGAGCTGCGTAGTTCACACGCTTGCCCATCATGTTCTTTCTGAACAAGCCTTCTTTCTTCTCAAGCTTCTGCTTGATACCGTCCTCATTCCTCTTCCCCGCCGCTCCACGTATGGGATTCCTGTCCCGGTCAATCAACGAGTTGACACAGTCTTGCAACTGAACGCAGGCTTCGAGCATTTCCGACATTTCTCGTCTCCGGACCGGAGCATCATCACTGGCACCGTTTCCCTGAGACAATTCCTTGTGGATCTGGGCGATTCGAGAACATGCGTTCAGTATCTGTATGTAGAGCGAGTTTTGTTGGGCCTGGACGACAGTGTCACCCTGCCGGGCTTCCGGACGATACCTGCTCGGCGGCACGAGGATAGTCTGCAGGAAGAAGTTGTCTGCCGGGACGATCTTGCCCGCCGACTCGCCAAGGGGCTTGGAGTTGTAAAGAAGGGTCATGATGTCTTGCTCCTTTTCAAACAAAAGTTGCAATCGGGCCTTGACTTCCATTGAGTTGACATATCGTTGACCCTTACTGGCGTCCTCTCTCTTCTTTTTCAGAGGCTTGGAGGCAGCGTCGGTCATGACGACGTCGCCGTTTTCGTCCAACTCTTCCCCGTCGCCTTCGTCCTCCTCATCCTCGTCCCCATCGTCTTCTAGCCCATTCTCACCTTCGCCCTCACTCGATGGTAGGTCGATGTCGGCTATGCCTTCGTCCGAGTCGTAGTTGGGCTTCTTGGCCGCCTCGGCTTGAGCTTTCCGTTTGATGGACAGGGCATCTTTGGCTTTGAGGTTCCGCTGAGCCATCTTGGCCTGGTCCTTGTTGCTCAAGGCCTTCTCAAAAATCTTGACGAATCGGTCCTTTCTGAAGTTTGGCGAGATGGCGTTGCAGGTGGCGCAGTTCCTACCCTTGGTCATGTCCCTCAGGAAGTTCTTCACGACGTCCCTCCGCGCCTCCGATGCGCCTTCATGCTTCCCCTTTCTGATGTCTGCGGATCGCACGCGGTGCCTCCTCAACTCTTGCTGGGTGTAGGCATCTCGCATGCAAATGACTTTGTCAATGGAAGAGCTCTCCTCGCCCTCGGACTTGTTCTCGTCGTCCAGCTCGATATCGGTGGTATCTGGGTTGATGTCGTCGATGTGGTACGCGGCGTCGATCAGGCCGAACTGAAGCAGGCGTAGCTTGCACGAGACGAGGTTTATGTCGGCCCTTCGCATGCGAAAGCGGAAACAGTATTGGCACTGGGCGCGAAGCAACCGCAGGATCTGGTCCATGAACACGGGGTGGTAGACGGGGACTGGAAGCTCGATGTGGCCTACATGACCGGGACAGTTTGGCGCCCCAAGATTACATGTCGTACATGTTGAATCGCCCGAAGACCCCAGAGCAGGGTCGTATAGTCCGCCGGGAATAGGGTTGTTCAGACTATCGAAGGTGGTGGGATTCTCGATCTTCTTGACCGAGATGGCCTTGATCTCGGCCGGAGTGAGAAAATCAAAGTCGACGCTATCAATAGCGGACGAGATGGGGTGAGATATGTTCATGGCTGGCAAAGTGCACGGCGCGAGTGCTGAGGCTGGTTGCGGGACCTTGGCGAACTACCTTGCCAATGTGCAAAACTGGTATTAGAAACCCCTGCGGCAATGCATATCGGTATACAACACAGCCAGAGAAGGGGGTATCGACCAGTCCGTGGTCTGAGTGGCTTGTGTGGTGTAAAGTTTATGAACGACGGGCTGCTTCAAGAGGTTTTTCGTTGGTGGGGTTCACGAGCAGAACCACCAGAGATGCAGCGACCTTTTGGCGGTGAATAGCGGCAAAAAGCTGGCAGCTTGAGCTTTCACGCCGTGGCTTGGCGCCATGGGATGACAATGTGGCTTGAGCCTTGAGGCTTTGCGCTCGGGAAGGTTGACTTGAGCTGTCGGCTTTAGCTTTTCGTTTCCGTCTGGCGCTCTGGAGTTGACGACAACATCGGAGCTCGTAATACCTCTCCGTATGTACTGCGTATTACTTGCTACCACTACAGGAAGTTCCTATCATCCCTAGCCAACGACCGACCACTTGATCTTCCGAGTAACCGGTCGCGACCCTGGGCAGCACCTCGTCGCAACGAGCCACCGGAATTTGACAAAACACCAACGCGGATTGTCACCACCATCATGGATCGGCATGGCTCCCCAAACCTTGGTCCGCGAAACGATGGCACATCCCGAGTCCAGAAACCCGACACTTCATCCGACAAGGCAGCCAAGCTTGCCGCCCTCAAGGCCCGTGTGTCGGCCGCCATCGGTGGAACCAAGGCGAAGGGAGGGCTGAACGTTGGCCTCCACCCGGTTCTCGAGGACCTCGGACAATGGAAGCCCTCCAGTAAAACCAACAAAACCAACAAACCTAACGATTCGAGATCGGGCCCGGCCTCCTCCAGCTCGCGAGCGCGGAATGACAATGTGAGAGACCAGCCTAAGCAGCACAAGTCTCTCGACCTTTCCGCGCCCTCGCAAGAAGAGATCAAATCCAACCCCTACTACGACGCGAGCCTAGGCGGTCCCGTCGCCAAGCCGCGGCAGGCGCGCCACCTCGTCTTCAACCAGAAGGGCAAATACATCCAGCAGGCGAATGCCTTGCGGCGCCAGGCCGCGCTCGAGGCCTTGAAGAAGAAGATAGCTGCTCAGACCCGTAAGGCCGGCATCGACGAGGACATAGATGTCGAGAAGAATTATCTCGTCGAAGCCCCGCCGGATATCGAGTGGTGGGACGAAGGACTCGTCGATGGCAAGAACTACGACGACATCGACAACCCCCGATCCCTCAAGATCGACACAGAAGACACCATCATCACCAGCTATATACAGCACCCCGTTGCTATAGAACCGGCCCAGGACCAGCACATGCCCGCACCGAAACCCATGTACCTTACATCAACCGAGCAGGCGAAGCTGCGGAGACAGCGCCGGATGGCCGACATGAAGGAGGAGCAGGCCAAGATTCGACGTACGTACCTCTTCACTTATCCCCTTTCTTGCTTCTTTCTTCGAACAGCGACTGACTTGTGACTACAGTGGGCCTGGTCCCGGCACCGCCGCCAAAGATCAAAAAGGGCAACCTGATGCGTGTGCTGGGGGAGGAGGCCGTCAAAGACCCCACGGCTGTCGAGGCCCGGGTCAACCGCGAGATCGCCGATCGACACACGAAGCACGTAGAGACCAATGAGAAGAGAAAGTTGACCCAAGAACAGAAGCATGAAAAATTGGCCAAAAACCAGGAGAAGGATGTAGCCAAAGGCGTGCACATGCTGGTCTTCAAGGTAGACAGTCTGGCCAACGGGCAGCACCGGTTCAAGATCCACAAGAATGGCGAGCAGTTCGGCCTCATGGGTTTGGTCATCATGAATCCAAAGCAGAATCTGATCATCGTCGAGGGAGGTGAGTACGGCATCAGACAGTACAAGAAGCTGATGCTCAACCGCATCGACTGGGCCGAGAACACGCCCTCGAGGGGCAAGGACGTTGAGAACGAGGGGTTGAAGGATTGGCTGAGGGCCGAGGACGAGAAGGGTGATCTGAAGGACCTGGGGCTCAACAAGTGCCAGCTGCTATTCGAGGGCGAGGTCAAGGCACAAGCCTTTCACTCACTGAAGTCCCGTGTCTGCGAGACGGATGTAGAGGCGAGGCAAGCCCTTTCCCGGGCCAAGTTGGAGAGCTTCTGGAACCGGGCCAAGTCGACTCAATAGCATGGTTACTACCTACGTAGATTACCTGGGTAAGCCAGTCAGATTGAGCGGTGATGCCCCCGCTCAATAATGCGAGCCGAGACGGGCACATTCCGATCGCCAAGTGCATGTTAGGTATTCTGCGCCTGTACGCCACCCATATGTCCATTATGCAACATTTGAATCCTGAATACGCCAGACCCTCTCGATCGCCCGTGAAGGTGCGCGTGACGACTTCACGCACGGCCTGTTGGGGACCATAAATTAAGCAGCGTCAAGCTCCATCATACCGTCGAGTTCATCATCATCCATGTCGAATTCGTCGTCGACGCTCTGGTTGGCCTGTGCCCTACGCAGAGCTTCCATCATGGCATCATTGTTGTTTTCCAGCTCCTGTATCTTCTCCTCGTCGACCTTTTGCTGGTGCTTCTTCAGATCCTTTATACTCCACGTACTGATGCCCTCTTGGTCTTTCGCCTTGAAGGGCCGGGCCATGTCTCTCAGGAACCGTTTCGCCGTGATGATGGCCATGTCGGTGCTGAGGTTGCCGTCCACTTCTTGCATGGCCTGGTTGATCCACTTGGGGAGCTGGATCCTCTTCTTCTGGAAGCGGCGGTCGGCGAGCACCATAATACCGTAGTCGTCCTTGCCTCTGAGCACACGACCCAGGCACTGTGCGGCGTGGCGCATGGCGTCGAAGGAGAGGAAGTCGTTTTCTCGGATACGGTAGGTTTCCCGCAGAAACTCGAGTCTCGCCTTGAGGATACGCGATTCTGTGTACTGGAATGGAACACCGATGCACAGCACCGTCCGCCCATACTGATGGTCAAAATCGATGCCTTCCGAGACCTTTCCTCGCGCGACACAAAGAAGAACCGCGCCCCTCCCGTTGCAGCAGGCAGTTCGGTACGTCTCCAGGGCCAGCGAGGTTTCCTGAGCATCAGGCGTTTCGACCAGGATCAGTTTGTATTTCCAGACCTCGTCTAGAATGCCCATACCCTGCCACATACTGATTATAGATTCCATGTAGAGATACGAAGGGAAAAAGACGACCATCCCGTCTGGCGTAATCCTGGCGAACTCGGTGAGAAGGTTCCCGTAGTTGCGGACGACGCTTGGTTCGTTTCTGACTTGGAAACTGGTAGACACTGGAGCTTGGTCACTGCCACGGGTGACAATCATAGGCAGAAACGACCTCCTCGCCAGCGTCATGGCATACGACTCTTGGACGACGGTGGAGAAGCCCAGCATCTTGGGGTACATCTCTAGGGGCGAGATGGTGCCAGACGTGATAATGACGGAACTGAACCTATCGAAGACGGGTTTGATGGCGATCGCTGCGTCCAAGCATGTGAAGTGCAGGACAGGGTTTGGGACTTCGGCCGTGTCAGACTCGAATGGCTCGAGTATGAGTAGGAATCCTTTCTCGTAGGTCGCAACCAGAGTCGCAAAGGTTGCCACTTCTTGCAGTGGCTGGTAGTCCTCAATGTTCGTAAGCTCAAGCGTTCTCACCAGGGACGTTAACCTCTCGGCGCAGAATCTCAGTGGCTTCTTCTCGATGAATGTGTGCTCCTTTAGGTGGGCTAGAAACGAAGGCGGCGTCTCGGAGATGACCTGCCGGACTTTCATACGTGTTTTCAGATATTCAATGAATCGTTTCAAGAAAGCGGTGAAGTGCTCGGCCCTGCGGATGTTACCCGGGACGGCCTCTTTCAGCAGGTCGTCGGGCAGGGCCGGGTTTGACATGAAGGCATCTTCCTGACGAGCCTCGTCGGCATCGCGCAATCCCTCGACCAGTTTTTGATACTCATTCTCCAGCTGTTCCTTGTCCGTCTCCTTCATCTCGGTAATCTTGCGCTCGAGATTCTGCGCCCCTCGCGTGGCCTTGCGCAGCGAATCTTCTGTGATATCAGTACTCAAAGACTCGATACAGACGTTGTCGATGTTGTGCGCCTCGTCAAAGACCACAATGCAATCCTTGGAGAGCTCCTTGGATACGCGATCGGCTATCTTGGGATCTAGCAGGTAGTGATAGGAGTAGATGATGACATTACAGTATGGCATCTGAATGAAGATAAGCGCAGTCCCCCCGTTTACACGCACAGCAGCGAGGCGGTACCAAGGAGAACTTACCATCCTTCTCGCAGTAAAGTAGGGACACTGCTTGTGTTCTTCGCCGTACCTCAGGAGGCCATCCAATGTCCAGACACCATTGGGAATGAGATTGTGCGGCTCGAGGAGGTCCAGATTATCATGGTAGATGCAGACGTCGACGCTCTCACCCTTGTCCTTCTTCTCTTTAACGAAGCCGGCGGTTAGACTGCGGCATCGGGCGTCGACGATGGCGCCACTCTTTTCTGTCTTGACGGACGGGTGAAGACAGAGATTCTTGCGGCTTGTCAAGCCGAGTGCGCGGAAGTCTTCCTCGTGGCCCAGCTCCTTAGTACGGAACTTCATGAGAGCTTTCAGTTCAGCAAGGGCCTTCTCGATCTCGGACATGGTACGCGAGCAGTAGATGAGCTTGCGATGCTCGGGATAATGCTGTTGGTAGGCGACGATGAGGGAGAGCAGGGAGACAGTCTTGCCAGTGCCCGAGGGCATCTCCAGCACACAGTGACCGCCTGCATCGAGCGTCTTCTTGAGATCGCACATGTAGGCATATTGTTCGGGATAGATGGAGGGGTACGGGAAGAGCACTGGCAGGTCCTCGATGAAGAATCTCATCTTGGCAACGTCCTCGGCAGACCCCTGCTATGCTTGTCCTTGCGTTGCTGGCGAACCGGGGGACGGCCAAAGAATGCGGTTCAAACAGCCGTTGTCCCTGGTGGTGCTGTTCAGATGATGGTGCTCGTTCGGTTGACGAGAATGGTAATTGGAGGACAAGCGATATGTCAGAGGTCTCCTCGGCACCACGGCATTCAAGAGCATCAGAGTCTCAGAGTGCCTGCCCACCCACTGATGTATGTCCGTCTGTACGCCTGTACGCCTATCGCCTTGCATTCCAGATATTGAGTTCAAGTAGTTGGCGTTGTCATCGTATTCGAGCTGCACCACGCTTTGAAGCAACTGAGGTTGAGGTGCACCACCTGCATAAGGTACATGTATCAGCAATGTCAACTAATGTGCTTATCGATAAGATCGTTCATCCATGTGGCTCGAGCCTTGAGCTGTCTGCACGTGTGGCTTGCGGCATCCCTTACATGTACCAGCCACAACAGCCACAACAGCCACGGTTCTTGGCCCCCTTCGACGATCGTGATTCGTATGTACGTAGTCGTCCGTAAATCATGTGTCTCAACAAAACCTCACGGCCCAGATGCATTGGAATCAAATCTGTCTCACGCGTCTCATCCCTATTCGTCCCGCGTTGAAGGTAAGTACTTACTTATACTCTGCCCATTACCTACCCGGTTGGCACCCTTGTGCAGCTCGTGACAAGGTCCAATTTGCAAACCACCGGAATGCCGAAAGAGTCTCGAAGGCCAACGTGGAAACAAGCTTTCCAAGCTGGTAACACAATCGACATTTTGCGACCAGACCGGGGCTGAAGAACATCCTATCAAGCATCTCCGCCGATAGAAACCCGACCGGTCGGTTGCCAGGCTCGAGCTCGAGCTCGTCCTGACAGCCGACGACGCCTCCGATGCCATGGCACGAGGGCGCTGTGTACGAACCAGTCTGTCGGGTTCGGCCGAGTAGTATGTATATACATGTACTACAGACTACAAGCTCATGAAGCCGCAAAAACCGAGTCGGCGGCGCAGCTGTCTCCCCAGTCGTTCACCACCTAGCCTTTCGGCTCAGGCTGCAGTGAAGACGACCCAAGTCAAGACAGATGGACAGGCCTACAGTTGACTCTCTCCGGTCTGATGACTGTGTGTAACAGACACGAGCAGGATCTGCTAATACAACGCGACTCAGTCCTGCGGCTTCTAGCCTTCTCTGAGCCGTCATTGTGTACGTGTCAGCGTAAGCCCGGCAGTGTCAGCACGCCCATCAAGGCATGCTTCACACGCGACCGTCGCAACAGCAGCTACCTCGCCGCAACTTGCGTCCAAACAAGTCCCTACGAGCCAGTTTGTCTTAGAACGGCGATCCCTATCGGCTGCTGGCCCGAGCACCGGCACATACAATTGCGTGTGGATCAGACCCGCGATGCCTGCGGCAGAGCTGGTTGTCTGCCTTGAGTTGGCCATGTCGACGACGGTAACTCCTTGGGGTGTGGCACGGTATTCGCTCCTCTGATTTTAATTGCAAGAAATAGGAGACGCCGGTGATTACCGTCTTGTCAGTTCGGGCACGCAGATACTGCTACGTACGAGCTTCCTCGAGCCGCCAGACGAACAACTGGTCGAACGTTACAGCCAAAGCAGTCCCGATCTGGACGTGGGCTGGCCGGCTAGCTCACTGCCCGGCTCTTTTGCTCCTGTCGCTAAGTGGTCTCATAATTATCATTTATGTCGACACTGCAGCTCAGGCAGAGAACCTGGCCATCGAATTCGGGCCTGGATTTCTCGAGTTGCAGATGGTCTGCTGGACTCCAACGCTGCAACGATTTGAGATAAATCGACTGATTTCTAGAAACCCAGCCTGACCACCAACCACTGTTACCTGCGCAGCTGCGTTGGCGAGACGCTTGTAATAGGATCTGCAGGCGCAATCTCTGGGGCCGTGCATAGGTGGACGTGCCGGGCCCAACATCACGCTGCAGAATGCGAAGTCGCTTATAAGTGTCCCTGGAGCCAGGCCAATGCAGTTGGGTTGTGGTCTGGCGCCCCCAAAGCTGAAAGACAAAACGAGCCCCCCTCGCAGCTGAAAGTGCAGACTGCAGGCCAGACGTTGGAATATCACGAATCGAACCCCAGGTCCAAAGTTAGATCTGACCAGGTTTCTTCGCCAGGCCAACAGACCACTGAACAGGTGCATACCAACCTCGAAACACGTGTGCCCCTGGGCGTTGGTCGGCTGCGTGCGCCAACCTGCTGGTACGTGCTGCATCTACATGTGTGTCGCGTGTTTTTCTGGTTTCCAACCTGCGCCTGGACTTGCGCGCTTCGCATGAACAGAAGTAGCACAACCGCGAAGATCTGAAGAAGATCCTCCACGAGCGGCCTGCGAGGACCCTGCAGTGCGGAGCTCCCTGATCGGGACTTGGACCAGCATCGCTGTAGGCATTCCGTCTTCGGTATTTCGCACGAGTCCGCGGTCGCCACAGTGGGCCGTCGTCGTGAAACACGGGTCCAGGCGGCCGCCTTCTTTCGACGGCCTCAGCCTCGCTGCGCCGAAACGTGGCAAGCAAGCCGAGTATCGCGTTTCAAACCTTTAAGGTTGGTCTGCAATCTGCAGCGGGGAACATGGTACTGGTGCTCTAAGCGCGAAGTCCGCTACCGTATTTCGACCTCATATTGCGAATCGAGCCATTCGGCATCCTTGCAGCGGATCCGTTGAGCATCCTTGTGGTCGAGAGAAGTTCGGCAACACCCTGCGATCGCGTCTCTATCAGTCTTGTCTGAGCTGTCTAGGACTATATGGACTTTTGACAGGGACCCAGACGAGGGACATCGAAATGGTGGAGTCCGACTTTTCGATGGCAGATTCGTTGATCCTTTCGGGCTCCCCAGCAGCCCAGCGGCCTGTCACCTACCAGCCTACCTATGCGATGCTTCGATTATGACTTCACACCCCATGTGTTGCCATGTGCCATGGGCATGGGCCTGTTGTTCCTCTTGTGCCTGCCGCATCCAGGTACATAGCGAAGGACGAAGTTGATCTGCCTTGCGGGATGGATCGTCTGAAATTTGGAAAATTTCCTACCTTTTAAAGTTATTACTGTAATACTGAGCCTGATCTCGACTCCCAGTACTTATCCAGGTAACGGGTCTGTGAGTGAAGGACGTTGATTTCGCTTCTTTCGCTATACTAGACGGCGCGGCTATGTCTTGTCCCGTCTCCGTCTACACTGTCGAGTAGAATCATCTAGCTATCCGTATTCTCATGGAGATGAACGGCTCTGCCGCTCTGGCAATTCTGGGTTAATTCCTTCGTTTGCGGCGGGCAATTCCTGCCGGGACTTCAAGGCAGTCAGTCCTTCCCCTGCCTACATTGGCCGGCTCTGTTCCAACTTCCAACGGTTTCGCTTCCCCCGCAGAATCTGTCCTATTGTGCCACATCCCCATCCCTATTGTGCCACATCCCTATTGTGCCACATGAAGACAGGCGGCGCTCCCAGACTCTTCCTAATACGTCACAGGTCACTTCCAACCGCCATGTATTTTGGCCAGAAAGGGGAGACCTGAAAACTACCAGGCCCGACATGCAGTTCTGCGGGACCTACAAGTTTGTAGGTAGCTTCCAATCATCTACATATGTACTAGTCTCTGCAGCTCGACCTGACAGCTGCAGAGATGGCAAGACCTCACCCGGCCTGCCGGCAACCTCGCCTGCTAATTAGTAGTAAAACAAGACCAGGCTGCCTGGAGCAGGCAGGCTGTATGTATGCATGTATGTAGTTGGTCGCTGTGCGCAGCATGCAGCATGCAGCACCATCGACGACGACGTGGTAACATACTCACACTGTACGGTCAGTCTGGGACCCGCTACTATGTACCTAGGTGTGCCATGGGTCCGGCCCCCCTATCCCCTGTCAGCTGCCGTTCTCCGCTCCGCTCATTGCTCACTGCCATGCATGGAGCTGCCCTCGTGCAGTTGCTGTAGTATGTACCCACGTCATCCCAAAGTGCCGCGAGCGCAATTCACTCACTGTCCACGGTCCCCTGGTCACTATACGGTCCACCGAACCCCCTGAACCCTGGCGGCGACTGTATACCTACCTCTGTATGCCCTCTTTGATATGCCACCACTCTACCACATATGGCCATCAGCCAGAGTTACATCCTGGTCCACCTTATAACCATCGCTCGACGCTCGTGGTACTATGTACTATGTAACAAAATTTCTGGATTCTGCCTCGATACCGTAGCGCATGTCGTGGTCCGCTTCCTGGTCCCGGTGTCTGCCTCACTGTTATTATGTTCATCCTCGTGCTGTCCCCGTCCAGCTTCGGTCTTAACTGCACTGGTAAATGCCATCTCCATAGTTATTACACCATGGCTCCCATCGAGGTAGCGACTGGGGGTAGGGCGTGTGCGTTGGAAGATCCGCTGCTGGTGGCCCCGGGGGTCCATCTGTATATCTATGCTCACGCAACCCACTGCCTCACAGCCCTCTCCGTGCCGTGCCTTGACACCAATAAAGCTCTATTCGGATCAGAAAGCAGAACCAACAGCATAGACGTTGCCGCAAAGTCGTCTTCACACCGTTGCTGTTGTTGCCAGACCCAGCCTGACACTGCTCGTGGTACACAACATCCATCCTTCTTACAACCAACGCCTCCTTATTACCAACACCTCGTCTCACGAGTCCTACCTCTTCATGATGGAGCACTCGCCCCCTTCCCTGACTAGGTCGCCGGTGTCCTCTCCGAATACAAATTTCTCAGCAAGCCCCAACCTGGACTATCCCTCGCTGGACAACGATTCGCCACTCTACAATATTGGCTTGACGTATGAGCAGTCCTGCGCCGTGATGCCCTCCCACATGGACCGATACGCACTGCCGCCGCTGGAAGCCGTGACTTCGGCCGAGTGGACGGGAACGACGCTGATACATGCTGAGGCGGAATCGGGTGTGCCGCACGGCCTGTCGACGGATTATGACCAGTTCGGCAACTACGAGGCTGCCATGCACACGCCGTATAGCCACGATATGTACTCTTCGCACCCGGCCCAGGCGCCAGCGACGCTTCCTAGTAACGCTCGGCATCTGCCCTCGATGTCGTCTCGCTCCCCGGTCTCATCGTCACGGCACCATTTCTCTTACCACGACCAACACAGCGTCTCGCCCGTACCGCGGCTAAAGATGGAGAGCGCTGCCGACTACTCAAGTGGAGGTGAGACGCAGTATCCCTCGCCTCGCGCGGTCCATGCCCTGCCCTTGCCCCAGGAGCCCGGCGGTTACGGCTCGAACGTCGGCAGCCCAGGCTATCTGTCCGACGCCCCCTCGGGCTCGTGGCCCAGGTTGGAGTACCCACCCCACTACTACGCCGGTGCCAGCGGCTCGGGCACATCCCTCCTCCCGGATGACAAGCGACAGGTGCTCAGGGCATCGCGGTCGCAGAGACAGCCACGCAAGCTGACGACGAAGGAGGAGGCCAACTTCCAGTGCGAGGTCAAGGGATGCGGCAAACTGTTTAGCCGGAGCTACAACTTCAAGGCGCACATGGAGACACACGACGAACAGAGAGAGTACCCCTTCCCCTGTACGGTGCCCGACTGCAACAAGAAGTTTGTGCGCAAAACGGACCTCCAAAGACACAACCAGAGCGTTCACATGAAGGAGAGGAACCACAAGTGCGACTTTTGCAGCCGGTTGTTTGCGAGAAAAGATACTCTACGGAGGTAAGTCACTGGACATCCCCTCCCCTTTCCTGCCAGCGTGGTGACTGACAGTCGCAGGCACATGGAGGACGGCTGCTCCAAACGCTTCGATATCGGCACGCTGGATCTACGCGAGGCCGAGCCCTACGATTCTTACCACACGCACCCGAGACCACTGGACAACGCGTCCGGACACCTGGCAGCACCGGAGCAACTGCCCCCGATGACGATGCCGCCTCTATATGCAAAGAGACGATGAGCATCGGGTTTATTTTACGTACGACATATTTCAAAATTGGGCATTTTCAGCGCCCTTGTATCATCTACTACTTGACTTATAAGCATGTCACGGGCGTGTGATGCGTCCTGGGTTCAGGTTCCGACAAAGACATAATGATATCTAGATTCCAGTTATATAGGCGGAAGGATCCTCGCCATCAGATAGGGCGTTGCAGCAACTGGAACATTGTATACTATGTATCACCAGCATTCCAATTAGAGTGGCGTTGGAGGAGCGGGATCCGCCAGATGGTTCAATGCCTGTCACAGTGCTGTATCTAGAGCAAGACACAGTCACACACACAATAGATAGAAGCGGCCGATCAGCGCCCTCAAGAGAGAACAAAATACCAAAGATCAAGAGATTCTCGTTCTCGCGTTCTGCTGCCGAACCATCGAACCACCCACCCACGTCCTGCGCACCAACTTTATGGCTCGCGGGCCATTGTTAGTCACCCGCGACATGTCCAATAGCGACAGGCATGCCTTGAGGCTTGCGAGGACGTGATTGATGGATGCAATGTAACCGTTTAACGCCAGGACCCTCGCAGTTGAGCGAAGGATGCAGGGGTGCATGACCACCAGTTTCCCGCCTTTTCGGCCTACATCTGCCCTCGCTCTGTGTCGGCCGGGTGGTCCCTGTCCGGCTCGCGCTGACGAAAGGTGTTTTTGATGGGTTCATGCGGAGAAGACAGCTTACCTAGGTAGGCAAGAAGCGTAAACCGTATCTGGCATAGTTGGTACCAACTGTTCGAGCCGTTGAGGCCGGACGGGTGTGGCGCTCCTGATGGCCATCTTGTTGGTTCCAGAATGGAGATAGGTCTTTTGCCCAGGAGAGCCAGGATGCGATGCGACAATGGGTCGATGTGTCGATGCGTCGATGCGACCACAGGCAGGGCCAGCCAGGACCGGCCTGGGTGCAAGTCTGCAAGAGTCTAGAGTCAAAAGGCCCTGCATGTCGGCCTGTCCTCGAAGCCGCGGACTTGCCTATTACGGTAACGACGATGAAGATGATCGCCGCATGGCCATCAAGGATCGGGGTTTCAGGATCAGCAATGCCCACCATCAATGATGATAGCTATCATAATGGCCAGTTTACTTACCTCATAGAGTAGTAGTACCTTACTTGACAAGGCTCTCTCAGCTGCATAACATAGGTAATGTCGAGACCCCTACACAGTACCTAGGCTAGAGAGTCATCTGCCGAGAGAGCCACTCAGGGTGTCAGGACCAAATCCACCAGCGGCAGGATTCAGTCATCGTTTTCGCCCAACAGTCTACAGCCTACCGCCAACCGCCAACCGGCCGAGAGAGGAAGGACTACTACAGTCTACTATTACCAGTCTAATAACCAACAGTGTTGCTGTTACCGCATGCGGCTGACACGGTATGGGCAGCTACGGGATACCTCGTGTTACGTGGAAGGGGATATAACTACTGTGTAAGGTACTGAACCATGGGCACAGACCAAGGCGTGCCTCCTGCTCGCGGGGTGTCGGGTGGGTATGGCCCGGGTATGCTATCTCGTCCGAGCGGCCCAGGCCCGACGTGATGGCTTTGATGCCGATTGGATCCAGTCCGTCCCACACACCAGGATTCGGGGCATTATAGTAGCCTGGCAAGGCTGGTATTGGTATCACTTTGATGTAGCGTCTATCGTCAGACTGCTGGCAGCCTTATACCGTGTTAAGCGCTCGAAAGGGTTGCACGACATAGACTTGCATTGAAATGTGGCGGTTGGGTCGGCCAGGGGTCAGGGGTCAGGAGAGTTGTGGCAGATTCGAATCTGTTGGTAATCGGCATAAGTTATTTTTACCTAGACTACCACCCAAGGTAATAACACGTTCACGGTGCGTACCCCTTTTGGATTCCCTTCAACGGTCATTTTCAATGTTCAGCCGGCACACGTCTTCATCTCAAACAGTCGCAATGTGCTGCCTTGTCGGCAGCTTGACGAAGATGATCCTTGTTGTACTGTGAGGACCTTGCAGTACCCCTGCTGGATACCGGTATATCTCCTTCAACCCAGTCTCCTACCTTCTCCCCGAATCAGCCTGATGGTCCATAGACACAGGCAGGCGCTGGAATAATTAAATGCACCTGGCCCCGCAAACTCCCTAACTTCAACCCCCAGCGTTAAGCCAACGCAATGAAGTCTCAAAGGTAGCAAATCAAGTATTAAAAAGCTTCTCATTAACTTCTTTCAATTGGATCGTGATTTTATGCTATTGTCGAGTGTTGTGTGTGAACATTGGCTGCAAAGGGCCAATTTGGGTAGTTAGGGTGGTTGGTGGCCCAGGTGCAATTATCAACGCACTCGCCTGACAGGTACACCGTAGTGCCATCGCGACGTGGGCGACGTGGGCCATGATCCATGATCCATCCATCCCTCTCGGCACGGTTGACGGCTCGTAGAACCGACCAATCAGATGCGATATTTAGCGAGTGAGCCAATGAGATGATGCGGTATCCCTCCAGTTTATAGCTTCCTCCACTAATGATAAGGTACAGATATCCGGTATATCCAAGGATGGTAAATCGTAGCTTCCTCCAGTGTCCACTACGTTCTGGAACGAATCTTCTTCCATACCTGCATACCTAGTTGGCAAATGAGCCAATCAGATGCCATGTTTTCCGACCGAGCCAATCAGCGCAGGCTATTCTCATTGCACTTTGTATAATATGATGATGCGACAGCTGAACTGTAAGCAGTCCGTCTATCGCGAGCCCCACCTCGTCTGCCTTGCGACGGAGATGGAGATGGAGATGGAGATGGCGACAGTGATGGAGACGGTGATGGAGACAGCGTCGCTATCAGATCAAGCAAACCGACCAATCTATAAAGCTTAACAAGCTTAAATCAGGCAAACCATAGCTAATTAGCTTGCTTAATAAGGTTATTTAAAACTTAGTTTAAGTATAAAGGTAATAAACCGGGTGGATTTTCTTATAATAAAAAGTAAGGTAGATATAAATGAAGGTAATACGTCTTGAATACACGGATGTTGATTGATTCTATTGATTGTGTTCTTGTTCTGCGTGCAGAGATTGATCATCTGTCTTCTTGGTGGGTCAGATGCCCTGTGCGTCTCTGCCCCACTGGAGATCTTCTGGTGTCTATTTCTGGCTCTCATTCAACGATACGTACTTGTTATTACTTATATTAAATTTTTAAAAAATACTAATAGTAAGATTCGTTTCTCAAACATTTTAAAAAGCTATAATTAGCTTCATATAATGTTATTTATTGAGCAAATATTCCAAATATTTCTTTTTTTTTCTTGAGATTAAAGTTTGCAATAAAAATGAAAATGGGTTTTCCTTTCAAAGGCTTAATTAAGCTTAATGTAAGAAAATTAATTTTAAACAATCAAACAATTTGATAATTATTAAATATTTTTTAATGATATATATTGCTTTGAAAATAATCACATAGCTATAAATAAGCCGGAAAAAAAAGCATATAGTTAATAAAAAAGTACGTTATTAATAAGCGCATAATAAAATACTATATTGAAAAGGCGGTTAAGTAGTATTATCCGTATATTCGATCGATTTCTATTATAAATCTAAGTGAATTAACTTTTTTAAAAATTATTGAAAATTAAATATATTATAAATTTAATACTTATTACAAATAAATGTTATATAGATTTATTATTATGTATTCCGTAATAAATTACCTATTTGAAAAGTTGGTAAAAAAAAATAATTTTTTTTAGCATTAATTAAGCTTAATAATATCTTTTATACCCTTTATATCAAAAACCTAAATTATAATACTTAAATCTCTTTGTTTATTAACGAGCTTTATAATTAGTTATTACATATTCTTATGTCGTTATTCAACTAATATTTAAACTATTTTATTGCTTTTAATGTATTGACTAAAATAGTATAATCTTAATAAAGAATCATTGACTTATATTAATTAAACACGCGAAAAAAAAATAATTTTTGCTATTTAATTCAAATAAATATATCATTTTAACTTTTTTTTGTAAAAAACACGTTATTTTTATAGTTAAATACCTCTTTACTTGTTTTATACGTTTTAGCTTGTTTTCCTTTGAAAAGTCGTATTTATTATATATCATACATTTTTTTTAAACCAGTAAAGGTTAAAGTAACGCTATCAAAACCTTATTAAATACGTCGTTATCTATTAAATAAGCGTATTCTTCTTTTTAATAAGTAACGTAGGTCACCAGTAAGCGGGACATACAAGCGAGTGGGACACTTTCATGAACCTCTCAAACTTTCAACTTTCAACCAGTATTCCTCTACTCACGATAATGGCACTATGTTATAATAAATCAGACATGCAGCTAGCTGTCTAAGCAAAAAAAAAACGAGACCCTTTATTTCTATTTGAAAGCTTGCCAAGAAGTTCTACCTATCAATCTCTATATTGGCTCAAAGAATCGCCGGCTAACTATCACAACGTTATCGATAGCATGTTCAATTCTTTGAAACTTACGATTTTTGAAGAAAACGCCATTTGCTCCTTCATACTCGACCTGGATGCGCGAGCATTTCTGCACCGGTACACTTATGTTGAAGATATGGCGAATCAGTTATTGGTAGCACGTGGGACTGGACGCGTCAGAAAGAACTAGATGGCAAACTTCATCAAACGTACACCAGGTCTCCAGACGCATTTTTATCGCAGGATGGACTATTCAAAGGTTTTGAACAAAGATCCGGATGCATATCACGTATAATTTCGCTAAATTGCGGTAACAATCACAAAACATGGTATCTAAGACACGGATATTTATAACTTCAACGAGACTGGGTTTATGATGGGCATTATTGGGTTTGGCATAGTCATTACAAGCGTCAAAAGACATGGCAGGTCTAGACAAGCTCAGTAAGGTAATAGAGAATGGTCTATAATGATTTCTGCTATCAATACTGATGGTTGGGTGGTCCTGCGGTTTATCATTTTACAGGGCAAACCCCACCTCGCATCATGGT